TCATGAAGCATGACACATTTGGTCTTCAAACCACACTTTTCCTAACAATTTCACTTTTCCTAATAGTTTGCATGCATTGGCATGGCAAGCCGTAGAAGAGTTGCAAGAAGAAATAAAAAGTGAAATTATAATACTTGTTTATTTTGAGTGATTGTTAGTTTAATTTGACGTTAGTAGCTGGGGAGGGAGGGGTTATATAAGGGTTAGAATATGAAATGAAAGAAAGTTAGAAGGGTTGCATTAATGAATTAAATGATCAATTATAGAATGCCAAGAGTTGTTTGGGTGAAAGAAAGTTAGAAGGGTTGCATTAATGAATTAAATGATCAATTATAGAATGCCAAGAGTTGTTTGGGAAAATAGCTGTTGTTTGGCCATCATTTAAGAATTAAATGATCAATTATAGAATGCCAAGAGTTGTTTGGGAAAATAGCTGTTGTTTGGCCATCATTTAAGTAATACATTGGTTACACAATAGGATATATACCGAGTCAATAACTATTGTCTTGATGATATTGATGGGGTGTAAATTTGATATTATTGTTGAGAATTAAAAGTAATCCTTTTAATGGACCACCTAGCTCTGGTCCTTTTTGGTCGTATAAAGGTTTTTATAATTCTTCAATTTAAATACACGAGAACTTTTCTTAGATAGAGAGAGATGGTGAAAATGTTTTATTAATGACTTTCATGCATAAAAGTAACAGTAATAGTATGAATTGAAAGGACTTGTGAAATATAGGAGAGAGCGGATGGAAGATATCATTTAAGATATTAAATGCATGCCATGAAGGAAAATTATTAATAAAATAATTATAAAAAACATGTACATATGTGTTTTATTATGTATGTATGCATGTGTTTTGGAGGATGCATGTATGTGTTCTATTTATGTATGCATGTATTTTGGAGGGTACGTTGGGAAGAAATGTTTTAACATACCAATCCACTTTTATAATAGTACTAGTATGGTGCACGTGCGTTGCACGTGTACTCATTTTCATATATATAGTTGTTTTACTTTTTGAAAATTGCATGTATACATACTTATTTTACCTTTTGAACGTTTTTATGGCTTGAAAATGATGAAGAGACTTAAAATATACATTTTGGAATATAGTGTAGTCATATTACTTTTCTATATTTGATGAAATAATCGGGAATATGTTGTGATTATACTAAAAATATAAAAATCATATATTATAACGATATATCAAACAATTAAATAATAAATTTGATATTATATATGTTGGATATAATTTTATTTACAAATTATAAATTAATTTTTTTGTTTAAAATTAGCAACTAATTTACCTTTAATTTTAAAACTCCAGATACTTGGACTAATTGATGGAAAGTCAATTGGTCAAAATTAACATATGGTGCTAAGAATTAAAGAATATGGTACAAACGTAAATGTCAAAATAAAATTATTTAGTTATTTGAGCTCGAAAAATTAAAGAATAAATTAATATTTACTTCATTTGACATTAAAAAATAATTTTACTCAATGCCTGATAAGCTTGAAATTACATTAACAAACTTTTATAAATTGCACGTGCATTATAGAACTTCTACAAATTGAAGTTCGATTCTCCAAAATAGATAAAATTTCTCTTAAGTGAAAAACTAAAACTCCTCTCAGGTTATCTAGAGGAAGCTTGAAAAGCAACCGATTCTAATGAATACTATGACTTTCCTTCTTAATGGACTAAATATTTGAGCCGGTGCTAGTGCTACATTATAATAATAGTAAAGGAGGTTATGTGATGGGAAAGTTTTGAGGTTTTAGTTGGATGTCATTAAATAGATATAATGGTACAATTAAAAGAGGAGAATTTCAAAAGTTTTGATTGAATTAATGTCATTTAAGTGGGTTTGATGGAGTTATAAAACCATAAGTTAATTTAATTTAATTTAACATGCAATAATAGAAATGTAACTCTTGTGTCTAACAACGGTTAGGGTATTCATTGTGAATGAAATTTCTAATGAATACTATGACTTTCCTTCTTAATGGACTAAAAATTTGAGAACTAAGATGTTTATATATAGTATGGTAATTAATCAAAATCCTATGAGAACTTGTGGCTTATGGTATTCTTACATTTAATTAATTAATAGCATGCTACTTAGTAACTGTTTCCTTCAAACGTTGATGTATTGTTGCTTCATAATTCATGCGTTAGGGAAATGAAGCCAAGCATACAGTATTCATTGCTATATAAGGTGCTATTCTGTATTAAATATTAATATTTTGGAAGTTTTTTCTTTCGCCATTATTGTCATTAAAAAAGTGTCTGCATGCCGAGTAGGTCTCTGCTAGGAAAAAACCAATGAGTTAATGATTTCGGTTATGAAATGAATTTAAAGAGATATAATATAATTTATATGTGTATATTTACATGTATGGATGTGTTTAATTCAAAGGGCTATGATTTAGGTGTGCATATATGTAATTTATGTATGCATGTATGTTTTTAATGAGTGCATGCATGAGTTTTGGAGGGCGTTTTGGGAAGAAATGTTTTAACATAGCAACCCACTTTTATAATAGTACTAGTATGGTGAACGTGCGTTGCACGTGTAAATACTTTCATGTTTATATGTAGCCCTATAGTTTTTATTGCATTGATTAATCGTTGCACGTGTAAATACTTTCATGTTTATATGTAGCCCTATAGTTTTTATTGCATTGATTAATTTTTTTCTACTTGACATATACATGAAAGATGTTATATGTAGCCCTATAGTTTTTATTGCATTGATTAATTTTTTTCTACTTGACATATACATGAAAGATGTCATAGATAATATATATATTTGTAGGCTGTCTAAAAATCACAATAGATAGCTGATCCCCATCAAACACCGATGATGGAAGTTACAATCTGACGACTTCCAGAATACTACAATTTAAAGACTTTCACGTAGATCGCTGAAGGTTACAATCTGACGACCTTCACGACAACCGATGAGAGCTCTAGTTTAACAGCCTTCACAATCAACATCGAGAGTTACAATCTGACGACTCTTGCATATCAAAGAGCTAAAGTAAAGATTACAAAATGACGATCTTTGCAACGCTTCGACAGAAAGAGACTACAAATCGACGGTCTCTTCAAACCAAGACGTGGAAGTCCTCCCCGCGTACCAGCATCAAGACACACCGCGAACGCAGCTCAAACGCAGCTTCCAAATCGCTGCAAACGCAACCTAGACGCAGCTTAAATCGCTGCCAGACGCAGCTCAAATCGCCGCCAAACGCAGCTCTAATCGCTGCCAGACGCAGCTCAAATTGCTGCCAAACGCAGCTCAAATCACTACCAGACGCAGCTCAAATCACTGCCAGACGCAACTCTAATCGCTGCCAGACGCAGCTCAAATTGCTGCCAAACGTAGCTCAAATCGCCGCCAAACGCAGCTCAAATCACCGCCAGACGCAGCTTCCAAATCGCTGCAAACGCAGCTCAGACGTAGATTCCAACGCTGCAAACGCAGCTTCTAATTGTTGCGTCCGAGCTTCCAGACGATGCGTTCAAGCTTCCAAACACTGCGTTTGAATGCAGAATTCACGTCAGAACGCGGGCCTGCGTTTGACTCGTTCAAACACGAGCTGAACGGTTCCAAAACCGTTTCCCACGATCTGAGAGGATCACAACTCCACTCAGGAGTGATTTAAGGGGCGGTTACATCCCATTAGCCCCACTTAGGAGCGAATTAAGGAGGTGGTTACACCCCTTAATCCCCTATAAATAACTAAGAAATCAACTTAGTTCGTGGCTGGATCTTTCGGGGCGGTCAGTTGGAAAAATCTTGGCAGCAAAGAAGAGATCTTGGGGGGAATTGTTGGAGCTTTGGAGATCATCAACGAGGAGCTTCTTCATCCTTGGCTTATAACCGACTTTCGGTTAAATCAACTCTTTCATAGAGTTTTAAACTCGTTCAGAGTTCTCCACAACGTTAAATCGTGAGGAGAAGACCACGTTCCCAGTGAAACAAGACGTCGGATCGTCAACGGAGAGCAAACTCGACGCGAGCATTCGAGGGAGGCACTCTATCGCCACCGTGAAGAACCCAGAATTAAACAAAGGGAAGAATCCAGATCATTCTCTTCTCTTTTGTAATCAGGAAATCCAATTGTAATTGAGATTAAAGGAATACAAATCAAATTTCCTTCATTGTCTTTTTACTACAAAATTTCCACCAAACAATATTATTATGATATAAATAGATGTTATAGGATTATAAATAGCATCATAAAAAACACTAATTTGGCATATAAAAAACCAGTATATTGACCAAAAAGACTATAAATAAATGAAGTAACCGAAATTATTTAATCATATGTTCACTTAATGTAGCATAATCATATCTTATTTAAGTTTGATATAAATAGACAGAAATGAGCTCAATTTTAGCATGATTCATCAACTTCAAAAGATGCATCTTTGTCAAACTGTAGAGAGCCATGGGGAATCGAGCTGCAGCAAGGCAATTTGATCTATAATAGCTAGAGTCCATGACCTACAAACAGAACTGAATCGAGCATGATCAGGCATCATAAACTTATGGAAGATCAAACCTAACTATAAATGTTACATAAATGGGGAAATTACCTTTGAGATCAAAGATAGTCCGTTGCATTGTAAATAGTTAACAACTTTAATACACATCTTCGCTGCATATTAGAATATTGTGTTAGATAATAATTGTTTGAAAGTTAATTTGTACAAAACGTGCATCATAGAATGAAAAAATAACGAGTCATGATTTTGATGAGGTGATTTACCTTTGAGGCAATAATACTTCTGGATACACAATATTTTTTGCGTATGTTTTTGTTGTTCTTCTTGTTTGGTCAACTTTCACTAATACCTTAGTTGTTCTCATTGATATCCCCCTTGATAATGCAACATATAATTGACCATGTGAGAATACATGGTGTGGCAAATAAACTCCAACATAAGGTATTATTTGTCTCTGCGCTTTGTTTATTGTCATTGCAAAACATAGTCGGATTGGAAATTGTTTTCTACGAAATTGGAATGGATAACCCTCATTTTCAGCTGGAGATAATGGTATTCTCGGAATCATGACATTTTGACCAGAATGTTGACCAATTGTGATTTCAGCATGGATAACATTATGTTCATATCCTCTACAGATCATTCGTGTGCCATTGCACATTCCATTAGATGGATCAAGATTACGTAACAGCATGATCGGACAATTTCTTTTAAGAATCAATTTGTGAGGCTGGAGTCCATTCGGCATGAAGGTGTTCAAGAATTCTTCTTGGTGATAATTATTTGTGTCATCTACTGCTTCATCAAAGCTAAAGAATGTTTTAGCTTCACCAAGAAATAATGCAATTAATTTTTCATTAAGTCCATCAACATACTCATTCCTTGTTGAAAGAATAGCACGTTGTGTCATGTATTCAGCAGATGATGAATTTGATTGTAATGATGGAAAGATAGCATCAATCAAATTTTTTTCAGAGTTTTCATCATTGTCATATTCTACTACCATTTCATGTGGAAGAAGTATCAAATTCTCATCTATTGTGGGTTCCTCTCCATTCCCCACGCGCAATAAGAACTCTCCAAATACTTGATCAGTTCTTGCTCTCATATTAATAGTGAGAGATAATTTCTCCATTTTTTCCCAGAGATATGATTTCACAAGACTTGCATTGACTGTTTCTGCTCTAGTGCCCCGTGGAACAACTGGTAGAACTTGACGAAAATCACCTCCAAACACAACTACTTTTCCACCAAAAATTCTTTTGTCACCCATTACGTCCCTCAATGTTCTGTCAACCGTCTCAATCGCAAATCTTTTTGCCATAGGTGCTTCATCCCATATTATAAGTGATGCCAATCGTATCAATTTTGATGTTCCATCCTGCTTTGATATATTGCACATTATAGTTTCATTAGCAGTAATTGGAATTTTGAATCGCGAATGTGCAGTTCGCCCTCCTGGCATTATTGCTGCAGCCACTCCTGATGTCGTTGTTGCTAATGCTATCATCTTTCTTGATCTTAAATTTGCAAGCAATGCACGATAAAGAAAAGTTTTACATGTTCCTCCTGGACCATCCACAAAAAATATTCCAGATTTTTTTTTGTTGACTCTATCTAATATGATATCGAAGGCTTGTTTTTGCCTTGGGTTTAACTTTGATTGAGCATGAAAATCTTCAAATGGAATGTTTATCTCCCTTTCATCAATAATTTCTCTTGGTAAAGTTTGACATTGGTCAACATCATCATGTATCAGTAATGGTAGATCATAATCTGCAATATGTTTACCCATACTCTCAAGGAATAGACTAATGCTTTTTAATGTCCATGCAACACGAGCTGGTAGCATGTATTCATCTACTCCTCCCTTGAAATCGTCTGCCATCGCTTCAAAATGATCGTTCCATAATTTTCTTACATTTGATGGTTGGCAATAAACTAAAATAATGGCAAATAATCTCCGTAGTGCATAAGGCATTTGGAAGGTAGTGGCCTCAACTAAACAATCAGAAATACTATCATCAGCTTCTAGTAATCCTCTTTTTTGTGCAGCTTCCTTGAAGGACTTATATGCAATACCATCAATTGTTAAAAGATATTCCCATGAAGTAGGTCCCCTCACATGATTTAACAATAGACGTAAATAATATCTCTCTCCTTCTTTTGGGTTTGCAGCGTTTATACGACCAATGACAAGTTTGTGCTTTCGATCAGACCAAATCTTTGCTTGGTTACTCCACACGTAGTGTTCAGGAAATTCGACGTATAGAAATTTCCTTGCATTTTCAGTTGTTGTGCATTTTGTGAAGAATTCAGTGAGCATAGTTTTTGATGATATTTCTGAACCTATTACATCACGAAGATCTCGATGTTGCCAATAACAAATTGATTGCTTATCTCGAAGATGTAACTGAAGACTAATGACTGGAGGAGTAGTTTCATTCATCTTGAATTCATACATTCTCCAAAATGCTTCTTGCGCTGACACCCACCGTCCATCTTGGAAATGTTTTATTTCATCAAACTTATTTTGCTCTTCGTTGTGTGCAAGGTAGATAGAGATCTTGTCGTGCCCTTTATATATATATTTATATAAATATTTGATCGCTTTTACACTTGAGCAGACCTCAACATTAATGTGGCAATTGTACCTGTTAAGAAGATATGACGATATCATATTTAGAGATTTTCTCACATAGTATATTTTTTGTTGAAATGTTCTCATAAATAATAAACTTTAAAGCTATTATGAAGATTGTACCTGGTAAGGAGATATGGATTATAAGGAACAACCCATTGGTTGTTCAACTCTGCTCGACGTACACATACTTTTCTACCATTATTTCTCCTCATGTAAATTGGATATGAATCTTTACCAACTATTGTCTTAGAGGAAAAAGGTCGTGGATAATGATGTCTACATTCTTGATTAACCATGCAAGGGCTGTCCATGCGGTGTTTCCCACGGGGATCATGCATCATATGTTTTACAACCATTTTGTGGAGTCTTGGATGAGTAGACACATCTGGTATTTCTGCTGAAAATTATTTATTGAACTGGTCAGGAGTTAAGACTTTGCAATCTTCTTTCAAGATAACTAATATATGAGCATGTGGAAGCCCTCTTTTTTGAAATTCAATCACGTACACATGTGCTCCAACTCTTCCAAAGACATTCTTTTTGAAGAGTTGATCTTTTAGGTCTTCAAGTTTTGAACGGAATACACGCGATGTCAAATTAGGTCTGTCTTGAGCAACTTGTCCCATTAGAAGTTCGTCTTTTATTTCTTTCCAATCTGGATTACAAGTCATCGTAATAAAAATATCTGGTTTACCAAACCTCTGAACCAATGCCATTGCATCCATATACCGACATCGCATGTCTCTTGGTTCTCCAATAAAAGATGCAGGTAAGATAACCCTTTGCCAAGCTTGATCACCACGAGTTTCACCGATGGTTAGACTATCCACTATTCCTTGATACACTTCAGCTCTTATTTCAGATTGTTTGTTCCGAAAGTAATCAAGTCTAGTTGTCTCAAGTTTGATATACATGTCTACTACAAATTGTTGTAACAATCTTCCAACAAGCAAAAACACAGATGGTTCTGATTCTCTTATTTGTAACTTGTAGCAATAATATTCTCTGCATAAAACATGAGATTGTTTTGGCATAGTGACACCTATATGGAAAAAAATTTATTAACATTTAATATATGAAGAATTATTATTGACCACAAATGTTAAAATAAGTATATTTATGAGTAATTTACCTGTCTGTTCTTGTTGTAATAGTTCATGTACCGATGAGAATTGAAATTGACTTGAATTATTGTTTTGTTTGGAGATAGAGCAATCAATTTTCATGATATTTTGATGCCATCCGGATTCACCTTTTGGAAATAAAAGCGGGTATTGCAATGTATCATAGCAACCATAATAATGCTTCACATAATGTCTTTGACCAGAGTGTTCATGAATCACAATCTCCCTTTCAAATGGAACATTTGAATTATTCCCTTCAATCCATATGGCAGCAACTTCATTGGATGTTAGTGTATTATAGACCCGTTGATCAAGGTTGGTATTTGTAGCAATACAAACACGGATATCTTTGAATGATTCAAGATCTCTCAATGAACGAAGGAATATAGCTTATGGATTATCTTTCAAGATTTCCATCACCATTTTCATAACGTCCTCATCAATTATGTTATTTTGTAATATTTTCATCCGATTGTGAAGCTCATTATCACAACCATGAAAGTACAATTAGAAAAAAGTAGGTTTATCTGTGTTTGGTATCAAACCCGGTAAATGGTGGTAAATTTGCCCTTGTGCTCGAAATGTATAAACACCGTTCGTTGATGATGCCAAACTTTTATCAATAGTAGCTCCAAATGAGGTGAATGAAAATAGACTATTGTATTTTCGGATATTTTTACGGAACTCTATTGCTATTGTAGTGTTGGACGTGAACAATGAGTAAAGAGTTGGATGGACATGCGTTGAAGCCAATTTGATTCGTCCATTATCGCAGCAAAATGTTGGCACTTCATGTTCAAATTTCTTTGCTCCACAATGAATACAGTGCGGGACTACTTTCATTTAATGTAACTCTGAGCATGAAAGATTATAGAATGTGTTTCCTATAAAATAAATTAAGCGATTAGTATTTAATTTTGTATACCATGAGTTTTATATAATTTTAGTGTGTTGAATATACCTTGAAATTGATATTCTGATTGCGTAGCATGAAGTAACCACTTCACTCGTCGTTTAGCGGGACTATGATGATCATTCAAGGCACTGAGACTTGATTCACTCCTATTTTCAATGGATCTATTTATATAAGAATTTCGCTCTTCTTGAGTGAGATTGGTATAATAATCTTTGAAGTAATTATTCTGCTTTCGCTTTCTTGAGGTCTCTCCATCTGCAAATTTATATTAAAATTTATTGATATTTACATTTTAGAATTGAAGGAAACATTTTAGATATTAAGAACATAGTTCAAACCTCCATCAAAAGTCATATATTTACATTTTAGAATTGAAGGAAACATTTTAGATATTAAGAACATAGTTCAAACCTCCATCAAAAGTCATCTCTGGTCTAGTCTGTTGAAATTAGTTCAAACCTCCATCAAAAGTCATCTCTGGTCTAGTCTGTTGAAATAAAACACATGCAAAAGCAATGGAATATAAGTAACCGTATGGAACAATTTATTCATATATACATATGCAGAATGAAGGAAATTTAGTCTGGCGATGAGCGAGAATTTTCAAGTATCATATTTTGACTTGGTATTTCTCATAATGTGAAGTTATTTTGCTGTATATATGGAAATTAGATATCAATAAAATATGAAAATTACATGAAATAATTACATTTTCATATTACTGTGATGAAGAGGTGATACGAATTTTACATATTGCATTGTAATGTATATATATGCTAAGTTAGCTATCAAATTATGGTATGGAATGTGCAAAGCACGTGTACCTATCCAAAAATATTATGATGTGGATATAGCTATACAAAAATAGATAGAAACTCCCAAAATAAAAATAGAAATATTGCAACAAACAAATACCTCCTTATCACAAAAGTGGAATGCTTGCTCCTGTGCCTCTACCAGGTTCTCTTCAAGCTAAAAAATAAATATTATTAGCTTCTCATACTTAGCATTAGACTTCTCGATAAATATATACTTCTTAAAATAACATAACTAACTTTGGAGAAATTTACCTTCTTAAAATAACATAACTAGCTTTGTAGAATCGTAGACAGACACACATTCGTGGGGGTCCCAGACCACTCGAATAGAGAGAAGGTATTAAGAAATGTGTTTTCCTTGTGAACTCGGGCTAGATGTTGGAGAAGATATATTAATAAAATTTTTTCTAATAGAGAGAAAGAGATATTAAGGTTATTGGAGGTTTAGAGTTTGGATGAGTGGTTGAACAATTTTCTGGAGAGAAGGTGCGTAGGATTTATACAGATATGAAAGCAATTCAAATATTTTGAGGATATTTACTTAAAGATTTGGAATAAATTTTAATTTAAGAAATGTGTTTCATTAGGTAAGAAATTTTGGTAATTGTCCTAATCAGGATAAAGTTGTTGTATTTAGTAATAATTAACTTGTAGCCGATATTTAGCATTATTGAAACATTTTTGCTCTCCCTATTTATTCTTATTTGGTAACAAATCAAAATTAATCTAATTAAAATGGATATTTATTTAAAGATTTGGAATCAATTTTAATTTAAGAATTGTGTTTCATTAGGTAAGAAATTTTGGTGATTAACCTAATCAGGATAAAGTTGTAAGTATTTAGTAATAATTAAGCCGATATTTAGCATTATTGAACCGTTTTTTCTCCCCCTATTTATTCCTAATTATCATAAATATGAAAAAATAATTATGAAGTAGCGGAATTATCATATCATAAATAAAAAAATAATTTGTCAATTGTAGAATGGTTAAGCAAATATTAAAATGTTTTGCTCTCCCTATTTAGTCTTATTTGGTAAGACTTGACTTATAACTTAATTATGTAGTAATAATGACTTTCCAAATAATTATTAAGTAATGAAATTATCATTAATGGAAAAAATAGATGAGTAATAATTTTGATTTAACGGAATTATCAGCCAAACAGGAAGTCATAATTACTACGTAATTCGGTTATAAGACAAATCTTACCAAATAGGAATTAATAGGGAGAGCAAAAACTTTTTGTATAGTTAACCAATTGTAGAAACGTTTTGTAAATATGAAAAAATAATTATGAAGTAACGGAATTATCATAATTAAATGAAAAAATAATTTGCCAATTGTAGAATGGTTTAGCAAATCCTAAAAAGTTTTGCTCTCCCTATTTATTCTTATTTGGTAAGACTTGACTTATAACTTAATTATGTAGTAATAATGATATTCTTATTTGGTAAGACTTGACTTATAACTTAATTATGTAGTAATAATGACTTGCCAAATAATTATTATGTAATGGAATTATCATTAATGACTTATAACTTAATTATGTAGTAATAATGACTTGCCAAATAATTATTATGTAATGGAATTATCATTAATGAAAAAAATAGATGAGGTAAGTCCGTTACTTCATAATTATTTGGCAAATTGTATCATTCCGTTACTTGATAATAATTCATAATAATGAGGTAAGTCATTGTTACTTAATAATTATTTGCTAGCCAAATCTTACCAAATAGGAATAAATATGGAGAGAAAAAACATTTTGTATAGTTGGCCAATTGTAGAAACGTTTTGTAAAGAAATTATATAGTTTTGCCAAATATTTATTTAAAGATTTGGAATCAATTTTAATTTAAGAATTGTGTTTCATTAGGTAAGAAATTTTGGTGCTTGACCTAATCAGGATAAAGTTGTTGTATTAGTAAAATTAAGCCGATATTT